TTTGTGAGCATGGAGAATCAATAACTCTAAGGAATCCAGTAGGAACTCTGATGGTGCAGAGGTGTGAAGTATTGAGCTGCTCACCATAAGGTTGGCAGTTCAAACCTTTTGCTTCCTTTCTGGGCGAAACATGAGATAGGCTGTTTACAATCTCAGCAGTCCACAGGAACAAGTCTGCTCTCTCCTATGGGGTCACTCTCAGTTGTTATGCACTCCATGGCTGTGGTAGGTAGGTAGCAGTAGTAAATCTAAAGAGAAGATTCAAACTCAACTCACTGCCATCCAGTTGACTCCAGCTCCCCTAGAGGACAGGGTAGAACTGTCCCTGTAGGTTTCCCAGACTATAACTCTTTACAGGAGTAGAAAGCCTCATCTTTCTCCCATGGAGCGGCTGGTGGTTTCAATTGCTTACCTGGCAGGTGGCACCCCACTCAGTGCATAAGCTGGAAGGGGCATGGATTGTCCCAAGGAGGTGTGGTATTTACCTTTACCAGCTTTTTCAATGTGCTGAGTCTAGGGAAAACAACATTTCTCAAGGATCCTTTAACACTTTGTAGAGCATTAATAAAGTTATTTGCTTGTTTGTCAGCACTTTTTACTCTATAAAGCCCCTAACAGACATCAATCACACATGACACGGTACACAGAATAATAAATGAGCCTTCCTCCAGATTTTACTGCCGTGGATTCATACGGTCCCCTTCACTTTACTTTGTGTACTTAGGCTATATATTTTAACTTCTCAGTGAGACCAGCTTTCTGCACACCTAGGCAGTTATTTGAAGCACACAAAAATGTCTCTTCCATAGTCCCATTCCCATCTTTCAATGTTTCTTTCATTAATATGTCACCGCTGTATATTAATTTTTTTCAAGAGCAATGCATATGTTTCTGCTGGGGGAATGCAGGCGGTTCACTGAAGTAGAATAGCAAAATGAAGATCTTGGATACAAACAAAAGTAGATTTTATTGTTCACTCTGCCATTTACCAGCTGATTTACCCGGAGAAACTAGATCAAATTTACCGGGCCTCAGTTTCTTTCTCTTTAAAAAGCCTTTAAATAATTCCAAATTTTCAAAGTTAAAAGAATCTGCTTACATATGAAAGTTACATTAATTATTTAACAATACTTGGTACTATGATAGGAATGTTTGTGTAACGATAAAATTATGACTTTACAACCTGAGAATTACAAAAGCATCTTCACACAAATATTCAACGTGATGAATGTAGTAGAAGTAACCCAGTTCTGAAAATGCATATCCCCCACTCCCACCCATGGCATTTTCCTTAAGTTTTAGAATGCTTGTTAGGGCCCTTTGTTTTGTGTCCCATATTAGTTTACTATTTTTTATTACCTTTTTAGGGCTATCAAAGAAGTTTAATTCCCATGCCTTTCCATCTATCTAGACAGGGGGACTCCTCTGTGCACCCATATCTCAGCACCCATCACATTGGTTTATACTTTACTTACTTTGAATAAGGGATGTGTTAGAGATTTGTGGGCAAATATGCAAATGTAATTATGTTGCAGAACATGATAAATTTTCCTCAGAGTTACCATATTCCCATGAAGGGAATCTATCAAGGGAATATATCATGAAATATCTTCAGTTATCATTAACAACACTGTCTCATATTAGGGATTAATAGTATAGAGTATATAGTAAATTCATGTGCATTGATTTGGGGGAAGGAAATTCAGCAGGATGGCCTTGGTACTGATGCTGCAGTGCTGAAAGGGGTGTTACTTTTGCTCTATCAGGGATGTGAGAAGAGTGACAGGGCACAGATTCAAAAGCATATCAGCAAACCTTGTTTTACTAGTTTAGAAGTTACAAAGACCTTTCTCTCATGTTTCTTCCAGATGAATATTGTGTTTTGTTTATATGGTTAGCATCATTGATTTTAATATTTAATAACAGCTAACATGGTTTCTATCTACCTAGGTTAAGTAACTTGCTGGCTTAATAATTACATCTGTAACTTAAGAAAATAACCCCTCTGCATTGTTAACTGTTTCACATTGGAATGAAGAACACCACTTGGCTGTACTTCCTGCTGTAACATGTGGGCTGTCACAGGTGTCATGGTCATTCTCATGGACATGGACATGAACTCTGATGTTGTCCGTGTCCATGAGACATGTCTCATTTAACTACTTGCTTCTCCCAAAGGGGGGACATTTCTCTGGACAACGAGACCTTCTCTTTCCTCTTTCTACAGACCTGCATGTGAATTTCCTCAGGCCTCATTGATGGTTTCATATTTTGCTCAAACCCAAACAAAACTCACAGCTATCAATTCAATTTCAACACATAGTGATCCTATATAGGGTTTTGAAGACCATATATTTGTTCAGGAATAGATAGCCTCTTCTTTCTCCGATGGAGGCTCTGGGAATTTTGTTTGGTAGATGCTAAATTCTATGTAATAAGACTATATAATATTCAAGGAAGTGTCAGGGATTTAGTTACTGTTTGACAAAATGATTTTTCTAAACGTTACAGGTTTATAAAAATCTTCAAACATTTTGAAGTATCTACATTAGCATGATGTTTGTAGATGTTTACTAGCCATAGTTTTAGAACAGATTAACATAAGGTAGTATTAGTGTCAACAGATGCTATTAAAGCAATCAGTTGATGCATATGCATTGTCATCATTTGATTTTAATATTGAACCATTGTTAATAAGGTTTCTTTTTACCTGGGCTAAGTAACTTGCTTGCTAAATTGTTCTCTTCTAGTAAAGAAGCACTCCTTTCCCTGCAAGGAATTGTTTATGTAACTATAGAGCAGTGACTAGAATTTGTCTGATTCCTAAGGGCTTAAGAATACGGTATTTTGGTTGGTACTTTCTCTTCAGTGTTTCAGCAAGTGTGGGAAGGGCAAAGGAAACGGCCCTTGTATATCACTTTGGAATTTGTTGGTCATCCCTCTTCCCACTGACACCACCTGTGACACTTCAGATATAATGGAATTTAGTTTGCCTGTAGTTTTGATGGAAATTAGGCACACCTAGAACAGGTGGACCAGTTCTGAGAAATTAGCCGCTGGAAAGCTGATGCTGTGCCAGATGAGCCCATCGAGTTGGAAGGCACTCAAAAGGCCACTGGGGAAGAACTTCTCAAATTGGAGCTGACCTGAATGGTGCGAATGGAGCAAGAACTTAAGGACCTTCATTTGCTGATGGGGAATGACTAAAAATGAGAATAAGCGGCTATAAATGTTCATTAATAATTGGAATATGACATGTATCAATCTAGGAACATTGGAAGTCATGAAAATGAAATGGAGAAAATACTTTTCTGTATATGAAGTCCAGGACAGGTGGATACATAGAGATAGTAACTATATTTAAAATTGCCTAATGGCTATGGAGACAAGTAGGAGCTAACAATAAGTATGAGAAGAAAATGTCCTGAGATTGATTGTGGTGATGCTTTTGCAAACCTTAATATAAACAAGTACA